CAACACCCCCAAGTCCTTCTCCTCAGGGAAGGGAACAACTTGGGAATCGGTGAGCGCTGACCCTCGCGGCCCACGTTTGTATCATCGGCAGGGGAACAATGTGAGTTACTTTTCCTAATCGGGTCAGAAAGCATAGGTGCAAACTTCACACCTACGTTCATTCCAAAATTAAGCATGAAACTAGGAACTGTACAAAGCTATCAAAAAGGGCTTCAACAGTGAAAGGCTGGTTTTAAAATTGTTTTCCTACAGACTAGACATTTTAGCGGGCATTGTGGCATCAGGTTTACGGTTGGATTTGATGATCTTTGAGGTCTCTTCCAACCATAATGACTCTATGATTCTATGACATTTTTCCCTGTCTGGTGTGATCTCCTGTCCTGCAAAGACTGCTCTCACCAACGTGTGTGCTCCATACGGGGTACGGTCAGGAACTTCTCAATCCTGACTTTATAACACTTTTGGCATTGAAGGTGTCCTTTATTTCACGTGCAGCACTAAATGAAGCCAAGGGGACATCACAGAACACTACATGCAGAAGGAAAATGTATAGCATCCAGCCTTACAGTTAATACTGTCTAATTAAGGTTTACCCTACAGCTATATCAATCAGGTCAAGGCTCAAGCTGCAGTTCACACCACTACAGTCATAGTTTTCACCTGTCTTTCTTGAAACGATGGCTCCATGTTAGGACAAATATAACTTGTTTATTCTGTTCAAGCTGCTTGTGAAAGCAGCTTACAGAGCCTGAATGTCTCGCAGAGTCATCATGACAATTTTCAATCCAAAGCACAAAATACATTTCTCTGTCCTTTGCCTGGCTGATTAATGATGGGAAAACAGATGGTGTTTGCTCATTTGTCAAATTAAACTAAACCCCCAAAACTATCACCAACACTCAAAACACTCCTCCTGAATCATTTGGAAGGTTGATCTTAACATCGCTCTCATTAACACGTCTCTCAAGGAAGCTCTAATTATCCAGCCGGTGACTTTCTGGTCTCTTGCCCACAACTACTCATTCCTTCTGTCCCTTCATTTTCCCTTAAAACATCGCCTCAGCCTCACTGCCTTAACTTAACCACTCCTCGTCTCCCTCTTGTCCCACTATTAGTCTCAAATAGCAAACAGCCACGTCCCAGCCTTCCTCCATCCCCATCAGCGGTTCCCTGGACGGCTCTCCGTCCCTATCCTGCTTCAGTCCCCTTCCTCCCAAAAGTGCCTTTCGCTGCCCTTTCTGGTTTCCCCAGTGAAGCCTCTCCTTCCCCCACGAGTACCAACACCTCCTCTTCTCACCTGTCCCGACACTCCTCACTTCTCACCCAGCTCCGGCGCCTGCTGTCCCCGCTTCCCCATCACATCCCAGATCCCCCCGTGTTCCCCCTCCAACCCTCCCTACCAACCTCCCGACTGGCTCCCTTTCAGGATAATCCCCTCATTTTCCATCTCTTCACGCGATGTATCAGTGTAACTACAGACCTAGAAAGGGCTGGCAGGACAAGGGACTCAGAAATGTCCAACTCTGGGACATTAAATGGTCATAGTATTTTCAAATTAGGGTCATATTCTAGCACTTCAAAGCTCAGAGAAAAAAAAACAGAAGAGTGTGTATATTTTTTAAAGGTAGCAACTTTAACAAGCTGTAGGACTTGTCCTTTGCTGTCAAAAAATAAAAAAAAAAAAAGGAAAAAAACAAACACAAGATCGAACAGCCAGCCAACTCTCCCTCCTTTGTTCACAGCCACCTGAGTTAATGATTCTCTATTCCTTCTGTGATCAGCAACAAGAAAAATGAGAAGAAAGCAAACTAACTGACAAACTTTAGGTATTAAACTAACGTGATCTCCCTGAGAATACGAACATGTTTAAAGTTAGAGTAAAAACACCTCAAAAGCTTGTAGACAGTTACTATGCTTGAGACATACTGAAGAAAAGGGATTTATCTAAGCCTAGACATGCAGTTCTACTGATTTCGTATGATTAACAGTAAACATATGATTAAACAAACACTCTGCTGGATTTTAGCCAGAAAATTAAATTCTGCAAAATCCTGAGTACTCTTCCACTAATACGAACACGCTCATGAAATTTCCAAGTAAAACTTCCTATTACTAACGTTCTACTAAATGTCATACAGGCAAGAGCACATTACTCATAATTGCTACTTTCTTAAACTGAACTGCATCTTTATTAATGTAAATAGTCAATTTCTATTAACGCAATACTTCCCCCCACCAAAAAAAAAGCAAAAAAAATACTATCTAAGCAATCTCATGAGTCAGTGCAAGTATATCTGAAGATCTTACAGTGCTTTTCTTTTATATGATCGATGTCTTTCAATCAGACAAGATATCCTTGGTTAGGTTCCCTTGCAGGTGCAGGTAGTTGGGTGAGGAGGGAGGGAAGGGAATTAATTCTCCATCCCCCTCTGCACGACCCAAAGGGACGCGCGCTCCAAGTCCCCAGGAGCATCATCTGTATCACCTCCAAACCTGCCTCGCCTTCCTGCCATCTGCCCTGCAGCTGCAAGAAAAGAAGTTCATATATCCCTTTAAAAAATAAACAAACAAACAAACCAACAGAACTGGTCAGTACATAGCAGCATTTTCTAGCAGGTGACCAAGATGCAATTTATCTGACAAAAGGCAGGCTTTTTCGTCTGATCTCATCGGCACTGGCTGGCTGAGTGGTCAGCGAGAGGAGGAGGAGGAGGAAGAGGAGGAGGAGGAGGAGGAAAGGGTTTCTGTGCTGTAGTTCTTACAAAACGCAAACCTGAAGCAGGTCAGCTCAACAGCACTTTGAATTTGCCCCTTCTCCATCTCAACCATGAAAACAATGTAAGGAGGCTTGATCAGAGGTGGACATCTGAATTTAAATGCGGTGAAATAAACTGATTGCGTGCTTTGCTTTTTTCAGTCAGTTTTCCTCTGATACTTCCCTATGCGTCACTATTTTTAAATACATTTGTACGAACAACGGTGTTGACACAGCCCTACTTACCCTTCACATACATTAAAAGCAAGGCAACCCACTGCATGCGCAAGAGAAACTTACAAAGACCAGGCAACTTCAAACCGAACCCGATTACGACCAAACTTTGCCAACAGCCAAGAAATTACCCAGAAACACATCCAGAAGAATTGCAGCCATGCAATTGCAGCCGTGCAAGAGGATGCTAAGCGTTCGGATGGTACCCCTGCTCTCTGGACCCCACGGGGTGGGCAGGGGAACCCCCCGTGTCCCAGAGCCCAGCCTGCACCCAGCACAGCTCGGAGGGAAACTTTCTCGGAGGGGTCATCAGGGCAGGTCTGATATTATGCAGTGAACGCACATAGAGAAACCTAACTTTTGGCTCTAAAAAGAAAGCACACTTTTTCAAATGAATCTATAAAAATGTACCTACAATAAATAAAAAGACAACAAACAAGAGCCACTGCATTACGTACTAGGTTTTTATATCCAACAGCTTCTTCCTTATCCAACAGAACCAGGAAGAACAAGGTATACATGACAAAGGCTTATCACACCACTTGATGAACTACCAAAAGGAGTTCAATGAGGAGAGGGAAAATAAATACTTCTATGGACTCACGGTAGTAACGCACAAATAGGCATAAAAAAGCTCACTAAAATATGTTCAACTTTTGTACTTCCTTTTGTGGCACTTAATAAACATCCAGAGATTGCCTGCATGTCTAAAAAGTTAAAAATTTCCATGTCATTTATACTGAAGGCATTATAAGTATAAACTGTTAAGTATATAAACATAACCTTTGCTCCTATTTACCTTAAACTATGTAAGATGTTTCATAAGCAGTAATGTACAACATTCCCTCCTAAAAAATAAAACAATTCTAGCAAAATAGGATTTCTAAAATATCAAATACTATGAAGCACTCTGCTGTAAGTCAGTCTTTTTGAAACGCAAGTGCAAAAAAAAAATCATTGGCACAAGATCAGTCACACTTCTGACAATGCAGAGCTGCTTATCTTACTCAGTTCTACGTGTTTCAACGCTTTCACACAGCACTAACACTAGATTTTAATCTAGAGGCAATCTTCAGGGCCACAGTACGTTTTCATTTCATGACAATGGTTCTTCGTTGGTGCATCCACCAGGACTGTGCTTTCTGGCCATGACTTACTCTGCTGCTTGTGAGTTGCTTTGTTTTTCCATAGCTAAATCACCGCTATTTTTGTACTTGTCGGCAAAATAATCGGAGTCAAAGTTTACAGACAAATCTGGAGGACTCACATAAACGTTTCCATTGTCTATTGTGACTTTATGAATCCTTTGTTTGACTCCTTTTGATTTCCACTGCGGTGTTGGTGATGGCTCCAAAGGGTTTATTGCTTCGTATAATCCTTCTCCTGTTTCCAAAGTAATTCTATACTTATGCCAAGGACAAACAATACATGCGTGACCATTGATATCCTGCAAGGAGAAGAAGAAGAAAAAATACCAGGTCATTGGCTTCTGATTCTTCTCCTGGAAGAATCTCCAGGACAAAAGACATGTTTGGTGATTTGGCTGTACGGCCGTCTGCTATTTTACGTACATAACCATTTCTGTCGATGCCATGTTCAGATAAAAGTATTCCAAAAAATGCCTTAGAGTTTTCACATGACTCTATGCTGCCACAGTTTTATTTTGCTTACATACCTCTATTTCCCCAAGACGTAAAGGGCCTCCTTCATCTGAAACATGGTATAACACAGTATTAATTTATGCAGCAGATTTTACGCCTAACTGTTGCAACATTGAGATCATATGTGCAAATATCTTACGGTAGCAGCGAGAGTCCATAGCATGAAATTTCCCCTCATGGTAGAAAACCACAACTTCTCTGCCATTGACTTTGGCTGTTACTCTTTGGGACTTCTTTATCTCGTCTTCTTTGCCAACTAATGTAAGACCATCTGGCTCCGTATCAACTGTTCCTGTGCTCGAGCTGCGCAAATCCACATCCTTGAACCACAAAAAATTCAAAAAGCCACTTATAAAGCAGCTCATGTTTGGATTTCTGTGTGTAGAAGGGATGTCTTGGTCCCAGAGAAAACCCCGACCCGTTTTAACACGTGGGATGAAAGGAGCAGAAGTTTTAGTAAACGGCTATCAACACGCACACGAAGCAAAGCACAGGAGTTTGGTGATAATGTTTGGCCGATGTGTTCACTGACGGAGCTGGGACTAGGAAAACCAGCTGTTGCAAACCTGATACCTGAGGCTGAGGCAAGACAAATTCTCAATCACTATTCATTTACTCTGCACTTTAATCGCCACCTCCCCTGAAAACCTATGTGCAAACAAATACAAGGACGGTAAATGCAAAATACTATACAATTTAGCTATGCAATGGGTAGTGTTTACCTGTAAATCCAAAGCTCTTTAAATAGTATTATGGCTAGAAATACAAACTGATATAAGTTGATAAATATCATCTGCAAAAGGGAAAAAAAAATTGTTTAGTGAGAAACTGTATGCAACCTGGCCATTTTAGCAAACGTGCCTGCTTTTCCCTTCCTCCTCTTAGGTATCTCAGACGTCTCAGACCCTCTCCCAGCAGAGCACATCGGTATTTTTATCACAAAACCTGCCTTCCTATTAAATTTGCTTACAATTAGCTACTGCGTTCCGGTTCCCTCCAAATTCCCAGTACGACCATACTACCCTCGCTTCCTCAGAAAATCAGGATTAAAAAAAGGGGTCTTTGTACACGCCGAAGCCGAAGGGGAACCACAGGCAGCGGGGACCCCACTGCAAGGGGGTGCAGAGCCACGGAGAGCCACACCGTACCTTAGGTCCACGCCAGATCGCCACGGAGATGAGAAAGCAGATGAAGAAATGGAGGCTCAGAATAACGAGGTCCAGCATCGCCTCTCTTCACTGTGCCTATCACAACTCTCCTGCCTTGCTCACACACGTGCGTCGCAGCCCCTCTTTACGTGCAAATACAGCACCAGCGGCGGGATGTATGGAGGCTCAGCGTGGCAGGACCCAGCTCTGCCAGGGCTGATAAGGAGCAGGGACACGCCGGGGCTGGCCTGATAACAGGAGAAGAGAGCTCCGTGTTCCATCCTCGCCGTCAGCCCACGCCGCCACCGCCTCCTCCGAGCGGGACGTGCCGAACCGAAACCCAGCTCAGAGCCACCTGTTACATTACGTCTTTATTGGGGATCAGCAACTGCGTGTTTCCTAATAAACCGCTACACCAGGAACACCGGCGTAAGTAACGGCGTGGTTATTTTCAAGGGCTGTTGTTATCCAATTTGCAGACGATCACTTGTAAGGACCGACTCCCCGCTTCCCCGTTTACAGGAACGTCCGCCCAGTCTTACCCAGAAAGTGAAACGTTGCTGTCAGACTCGCAGCACGAGCCAATAAGGCATTCACACTTAGTTTCTTCAGAAAATAAAGAAAACAAGTATTTTCTGCTTCTTCAGAAAATAAGCACGGCGTGTAGCAAACTAATCACAAGAACCAGAGCAGGAAATCCCCAATTTTTTACTCTCACCTTCTGCCTGACTCTGCCTATAAACTTTCCAAATCGGCCAAATTCCTAAAATGCAGAAGCCTGTACTTAGAAACGCTCTTATGAAGACACTTTTAAAAAACTGTATCCCCACATACATACACATACAGAAATACAGACACACACACATCTATATACATCAACACACACATACTTATACGTATGTCCAAACCAGTATTAAATTAAGTCTTGGCATCAAACCTCCGGCTCATTTCGTGATGACGTTTCTACAGTCAGCCTGGATTTTGTACGCATAAATTATCCAGGCACCCCAGGGTGAAGCCTGGCTCAGACTGTCAGCACCTTGTGGACCCTACATGGTCCAGCCGGTGTAAGCAAACCAGTACCCAAGGGCTCCATTTTACAGCCAAAACTTGCACGTTTTTCTACAACCAACTGCAGATGAAGAACTGCCTTGACACACCGGTGGTCATCCCAAAGAAAGCCCTCCAGCCAACGTACACTTGTCAATGTCCTTCTGAGTCTGATAAATGCACGGTGGCAAAAGACTTTCTTCCCCCAGAAAAGGAGCGCAGTTAAGGACTTCTCATGACGAAAGACCTGTAACCAGACTCTCTCACCGCAGGCCCTACTCTTGGCCACCTTCTCATCCACGCAGTGGACGTGTACCTGCAAAGTATGAGCAGAACATGAGAGGTTTCAACCTAGAGCAGCCCAGGAGGCAGTGAAATCCCCAAAGGAGGCAGCAGTTTCTTGCCTAGAGGAGTCCAGAGTTTGGGACAGGATCCAGGACAAGGGAAGGGCAGCAGACCTCCGAGGTGGTTTTCAGCCAACGTCACCTTCTCCTCGCCCATCCCTGCCCCTGGCTTGGTGCCACTTGGACAACGCTGCCTCCACGGCTGGAACAAGACGAAGGAAGACCTGCTCTCTCCTCCCCTTCTTTAAACTGCACAGCTACCGGCGTTAAGCTGATAGCTGAGCTCGTGAGCATCACCTCCCCATCAAAAGCACATGAAAATGGCAATTCATCTGCCTGCCCTCTCACAGCCCCTTGGAAAGCGCACTCTCTGCCACACTCTAAGGTGAAATAATAAGCATTTTTCCTTGCTCCTGTTTTTTTCCAGGCTGATGACCGTGTTAAAACCATCCATTCAAACAAGACTTGGGAGTACAACAGCCCACATAACCCACCAGGTCCCACGACAGAATCCTGAGCTACCAACCAGCTACCAGAGTGGCACCTAGCAATGGAAGTAAAACCGGCTCAATCAAAAAGAGAAAATGTTATTCCCACGCACACACACTTTAAGTTGATTTTTTCTGCTGGATTTTTTCCTAATGTTTTCTTAAGAGTTTGGCCGCTTTGATGTTTTCTGAGCCACCGCACCGGATAGAGGCATCCCGGCAGCCAGCGGCCATCTGATGGGAACGACAGACAAACAAAGGGTCTGGGGAACAGTGAAAGGGTTCCTTTTCCGACTAGAAATAGAGCTGGGCTTACGAGCCGCAGTAATTCATCGCTGTGCCCAGCTCCAACTCCTTTTCCCCCTTTGGGGAGAGGGAAAAATCGGCGGAGGAGGGAGTGGGTTCGACGTGCCCCGGAGACCCGGCCGTCAGGGCGGGGGCCGAGACAGGCACGGGTGGGCACCACGGCGGAGACTCGTCACGGAAGAGCTGTGGTCCCCGAGAAGGGGACGGGACGGGACTCTGCGTGGGAAGCGTTTGGGCAGCCGCGGAATGCTGCCCGTGGTCTTAGCGTTGGCTGAGCTTAG